GCATGCACATGCACCTGGTGTAATGTATTTTTAGGTTTGGTCTCTGCATTAGCTGTTTTTTTATTTATTTAAATTTATTTATTTACATTCATCCACTGTACATCATTACAGCATACAAAATGAGATTTTCCATCCAAAGTATACTGTATATCAACAAATACATCAACAAACATGTTATCATCAACAAATAATTTTCTATTTCTTGTTTCCTGTATATTTTGCTTTTTTTTCCCAATCCTTGATTCCCTATCTCTTACCCTCTGCCATCTCCCACTCTCCTCCCACACCGTCTCTGGTATCTATGTTCGCTTTCTATACTTTGCCCCCCCACACACACACATTTTATTGAGTCACTAAAGATCTTAATTAATCTAAATATTTTCATAGCAAGCACAGCTGATTCTGGGGATCAATCCACAGCTGTCATGTGGGGGTCCAGTGTCCCAACTACTATACAACCTGCTGGCCCCACTCTACTTAATGTAGAGAACTTCCTACATACTGCACATGGTAGCCACTTTACTTGTTTGGTTTAAGCCTCCTCAAGGAAGTTTGTCGTTTTACAGAATCATGGTTTGTCATTTACCCAACTAGCTGGCATGGCTACGCGGAAGGTATTCTCTATTGCGGGATTGCAGAGCTCATTCCTTACATGACCTGAGAAGTTAATCTGGAAATCCTGACCATTTTCAGCAGCTTTGGCTCATATTTTGTTCCCTATTCTTAAATGAAATAAGATATCCTTGAAATTTATTCATCCGTACTTCTCTTATCAAAGAATATTATATATTTTCTTTTAAAATAATTTTTCAATTATTGAAAAATTTTACCACATAGCTTAGAAGAGTACAAATGTTTACCATCTAAGAAAATTATTTATCAGCATGTCATTTTTCTTACTCTCTTCAGCATGAGTAAGTATTCAAGAGAATACTATATTATAATATTCATAATAAATGAAATAATTTCAAATGGTATCAGATCAAATTTGTTTTTTCACAGCTTTACCTACCAGCAATATTTAATAGCCCCAAATGTATTAACATGACTCAAATATACCTAATTATATCTACATTGAATTTTTATGCCTTTATCTATGCCAGAATTTGTGAAATAAAATAGCATATGACTATATGCAGAAACTAATTGAATCACATAATATTATGAGCATATTTTATATGTATTTATAAGTACATTATCAATGGTAAATTTGGTATATTGAGTAATATTACTGTGAAAATACCTCATAACAAAATACCCTCAAAGTCAATGGCTCATAATAAGCATACAGTGTTTAATGCCTGTATTGACTTAAAATAAATGGATGGAATTAAGCTATGTGGGGTGAGTCTGCTGACATGAACCAGCTTACGTGTCTGCAAGTTGTCAGGTTGGCGAATAGAAGTTCTGCTCATAGGGTAACTCTGTTCCAAACTAAGAACACACATTTCTTATCTTATCCAGTGTCTATTATCTTTCTTGGAGTACCAGGTTGGCCAACGCATATACTGCTCATAGCAAAGGCATAAAAGTGAAGAAGGAAACTAACAAGACCTCTTAAGTGTTAAGTTCAAATATGACTCCATGTTGTTACTTTCTCATTTTGTAAAAACTCACCTTGTGACTGAACCCAATGTGAAGGGTGGAGAAATAATTCCCTCTTCTTTAGTGGGAGAAACTGTAAGGTCACATGACAAAAGGTGTTGATATAGAAAAGTGTGAAGCCAACAATATAGACATCTATCTATATTTGATATTTATTAAAAGTCAAAGCTTTTCTCAGTTACATTGCATCTCTGGACAAAAACAGATGTATTCATCCATTCAGTGAGTGCACCTAGTATGTGCCACACTCTGCATGTATAATAGAGAATCAAACAAACTTCCCTGTGGCGAGCACTACATACGGAAGCCATCTTGAGCTATCCACCATCTTGGAAACCATTAGGCTTCACTTCCTCACTGAGCAAACCTTTTCTCAGAAATCATGTGACCAACCTTTCTCCCCGGAAGTGGTTGGGTTTCTAGGCAACAGGAGAGATCCACCCATATCAATGATTGGTTCATGCTGTTCTATCTCATTTGCATTTCGGGCAACCAATTGGTTCCCACCAGCTGTATATAACTCGCCATTTCTCCTCAATAAACGGAAGTAGATGGAAGAAGACAACTTGATCAGCACCACATATTGTGTGTGTGTGTGTTTGTCCCATCTCTCACTCCCTCCCCCAAGGAACCTGTTCAACTGTCCCACGGGCTGGAACACTTCCCACTCTCATGAAACTTAATATTATAATATAGAGGGAAAAAAAAAGAGAGAGAGAGCGAGCCCTACTGAGATAGAGAGATATAGCTTGTAGCACAAACAACATAACAAAAAGAACTGTTTCAATCCAATAACTCAGGGCATAAGGCTAGAAATCTTCCAGCCATGTTTAAGTATTATCACACTGCTCTCTTTGGACCAGTGATTCTGAGTCCAATTCTCAGCTCTACTGCTTACCAGCTAAATGACGTTAGACAACTTATTACCCACTCCAGGACTCAGTTTCTGCAAATAGGAATGATAAAAATATGACTATCTTATTTTCCATGTTATTAAATTTACAACTAGGTTACCTAGGGTGGAAGGGATAATGATAAAGTACTTGTTTATGGCTTGAATCTTGGGAGTTATAATCTTGCTTTTGCAACCAACTCAAGGAGTAATATTGAGAAAGTAGCCGTTCTGTCTACTGTTTACTACAATGTAAAATGGGGCTATGAATGCTCCTAGCATGAACTGCTAAGAAAAATGAAAATAGAAGTTAATGTGACGCAGATTCTCAGTAACCTAGTATTACTAGTAATAATTTTATAGTGGTAGTAGTTAAATTCAGTTATTTAGAGAGTGATAATAAAGCCTAGTATTTCCCATAGTGTATAAGTAGCCTGGGCAAATTGGAATAAAAAAAGCTATGAACTCAAATAAAATAAAATAGTGGAACTTATATTAGTGTTTCAGTTTAATAATTGTTTAAATTATTCTTGTCAGCCCAGCAAATAGATGAACTTTAATAAAGATGAAAATCTCTCTACAAAATGGCAACCAAAAGGTCATCCTTGTGGTTTTAAAGAAGAGATTGAGATGAAGAGGTTTAGTCATTCTAATCTTAACTACTTACTTACTACATGATCTTGGGTAAGTTTTTAACTACTCAAGGACTCAATTTCTGGACTAGAAGATGGCGTTATGGTTACATTGCTAGACTCCCACATGGACAACTGGAGTTCAAGTCCCGGATCTGGAGGCTTGAAACGCTACACATGTATGCATCTGTGCTCAAAATCTCTAGAGAAGTATGGAGAAGAAGAGATTGTGATGTGGCCATCCCCTTTGGGGGTGATTTCTTGCTTTCTGTCTCTCTGGCGAGCACACGTACCCTATAGCAAAAATCTCTTTTAAAAGAAAAGGACTCAATTTCTTGCAAAAATTATATTTGAGCAAAATATGCAATGTTTATCACAGTGGCACAAAAATGTTAAAAAAATCCATTAATCCATTTGTATTTCTGATCTTGCCCAAATCCTGTGGAAAAATTGAGAAAAGCCCAGTCGAAGAATGGTAAAGGTAGCTAACATTTATTGAACCTCTTAAAGATGCCAGATGTTATGCTTAGCACTTTATAAGGAGTATCTCAGTAAATCTTCAAAATAATCTCCTAGGAACACTATGGATTGAATTTTACAGATGTACCTTAGAGGGCTATACTAACTTGCTCAAAGGCCTTCAGCTGGCAAGTGGCAGAACCAAGCATCAAATCCACATCCCTTTTCCTCTTGAGACCTTGTTCTTAGTCTCTATGACATGCTGCCCCCCTTTCCCTCCAAAAAAATGGAACTACATGAGTCAGAAACAAGAACAATTAAAGTAATAACTATTTTACATAGGTATGCATTCAGTTATTTACTTACTCATTCAAAAAGCTGTTGTTGTATTTTACTGATAGATGTCAAAATACAAAGATGATCAGGATTTAACTTCTGTTTCAGGGGCTCTTTTACTTACAGAATTTCAATAGCAATTGCAGGTAAGTGGGCATAAAATTTAGGAAGGAGCTTTATAGGCAAAGTGACACACAGCACAAAAACAGGATTTTCTACCTAAAAACATGTCAGTACTTTTGACCAAATTCTGAAATGATCAACTCTAAACCCAGGAGAAAAGAGTTGTGTCAAATTGACTAATCTAGCTTGTTGCAGAACTGTAAGTAGAAAACTGGCACTTCAGTCTTTCGTCTGCTCTAAGCATCAGATCAAAATAAATAGTATCTGTCATATGTAGCCCTTGATTTCTAACATTTCCATTGACATAGTCATTCTAAAATCCAGCTTTAGGATCTGAACTGGAACTTGTCAGTACAGACTATCGTTGATTTATGATGATTCTACTTAAGGATTGTTTTACTTTTTGATGGTGCAAGAGCAAAACTATTTAGTAGAAACCATGTTTCAAATTTTGAATTTTAATACATTCTCAGGCTAGTGATAAGAGATATGGTACTCTGGCAACACTGAGCAGTGGCAGCAAGCCATTCTGGTTTTCACTTTTAGTATAATATTCAATAAATGACATGAGATATTTCAACACTTTATTATCAAACATGCTTTGTGTTAGATCATTTTAACCAATTATAAATGTGCTAAGCACATTTAAGGTGGGCTAAGCTATAATGTTTGGTAGGTAAGGTGTATGAAATACACTTTCGATTTATGGTATTTTCAACTTACGAAGGGTTTGTTGGAATGTAAGTCAAGGTGTATCTGTAGAAGACTCAAATTTCACGTGGTTCTCTGCACACCTGGATTAACGTACTCAGTGAATATCACTAATTTTCATCAATATTCAGCTCTCCTACCCCTTTGTGCATCAAGACAACACTTCTGAGCTCATAAGGGAGTAGACCCATGTGACACATTACAACTAATGAAAAAGAATGGAGGATATAGGTATTTCTTACCTTCCAGCAGTGAAAAGTTCACAGGGTTTCTTCAGGTACTGTTATTCCCCACTGTAGTAGCCTAAGAAGTAACTTGTTCCTGTTGCTGCTGCCACCATCTGTCAGCCTGGTGTCACTAAAGGATTAAGAAATAAACTATTGCTATGCCTCTAGGATGAGCATAGTTTTTGCTCTCTTAGCATAATCTGACCAATTTAATGTAAATTCCACGAGATATGCATTACTGACAATGAAAGACATTCAGGATAGTAACTATGGAAAAATGCACTTTCTGTGAGAAAATAGAAAGGAAAGTGCAAATTGAGGAATTCCCAGATTTTACAGAAGTCTTGAGAAATCAAGTCATTTCAGGCAAGTTTTTATTATGGTAGGCTTCTCAATAACTCCTTGAATGATATATGTATTAATTTGTGTAGCAATGTATTTAACTAAATAATTTAAATACTCAGTAAATATTTATTGCTATTACCATGCAGAGGTTCAAGAGGTAATGCTGATATGTAACAATGAACCAGACAGTATGTGCTTTCAAAGAGTTTAAGGTCTAGATTGGAATGTAGG